GTATATACTCTAAGATATTAAACTTGAATGAAATATATAAATACTGTATTTGTGCGAAAGACCTTTCGTCTGGCTGTAACATACTTACTTTTTACTCATTCTTAATATTCTTAAAAAATCATTGTGAAGGTAGAAGAGATAGTCTCAACATTCACCCTGTCCTAATACTGCTTTTAATATTTCTCCTTCTTTTTTTGACAGATAGTATAACTAATAAATGCGAGAATAAAATAAATGGAAAATTGCATGAAACTGTGCTTTCTTGTATGCACTACAAATTCAGGTGTTCTTCAAAGATGTTCATAATTTGATTACCGCTCATGCTTCACGTCAATCCCCTGTGCAGACGATGATTTGCTGTTAAGGACATAGCCTCCAGGGACGCGAATTATATCGCCTTTTGTAGCTGCCTTATAGATCGCATTTGGTGTCACACGTTGGACTATCTCCTCGGAGTAGTTAAGTTTTAACTTCAGCTGATCCATGATGCTGGCATATGTCATCGGTCCACCCTGCTGCCCCATAATGTTGAGGATGACATTCATAATTGTTTTGGATGATGGGGACGAAGCTAATGGCAATCTATTACCCATTCTATTGGAATCAAGGCGGCTAACGTCATCTAATCTCAAATTGGAATTTATATTCAAATTGGAATTGCAATCGAATTGTGAAGATATTTGGTTATATTGTCCGTTCTGAAAAGCTTGCAATTGTTGTTGCTGCTGTTGCTGTTGCTGGTGATTGTGCTGCGTCTGGATAAGTGGCAGCTGGTAAAGCCTATAAAGCACCGGCTGCTCTTGATTCATAGTTGACTGCGGCTGCTGATAGCTATTTAGCGCCTGCTGCTGTTGTTGCTGATCGATCATTGGATGCGCCGCCACTTGCTGATAATACTGCCAGGGCCGGACGAGCAATTGGCGCGGAGCAACTGATGCTTGCGATTGCTGCTGCTGTACCAAATTGTTGGGTTGCTGTTGATCATAGTTCTGCACAAGATGTGATGGTTGTTGCTGTAGCCGTTGATATTGCCCAATCAGTTGAGGCTGTTGCTGATTACAGGTCTGCTGAGGTTGCTGTTGCTCGTTGGGTAGTTGCAATTGTTGTTGTTGATACTCGCAGATCTCCTGGATCTGATGCTGCTGTGGGTGGCTTTGTGACTGCTGATCGCAATTGTTCTTGTTGCATACAACATACTTAAGATGCTGCTGCTGATAGCTTGCTTGAGTCTGCAGCTGTTGCAATTGCTGTTGCTGTTGCAATTGTTGTTCGTGTTGCTGTTGCAATTGTTGTTGGTGTTGCAATTGTTGTTGCTGTTGCCATTTTTGTTGCTGTTGCAATTGTTCTTGCTGTTGAAATTGTTGTTGCTGTTGCAATTGATGTTGCTGTTGCTCGTAGCTCGGCTGTTCATTAGTGTAGCCCTGATTTTGGGCAGCCCTGCCGTATTGCTGCTGATTCAACAACAATTGTGATTGTTGGAGCTCTTGTTGTTGCTGCTGCTGATAGTGCAGTTGCAGTTGTTGTTGCTGGTTGTGGATTTGTACCCTATAGTTGTTGTCATAAGCAACGTACTGGGGTGACTGCTGTTGTAGTTGCAGTTGCAGCTGCTGTTGCAATTGTTGTTGCTGTTGCAATTGTTGTTGCTGTTGCAATTGTTCTTGCTGTTGAAATTGTTGCTGCTGTTGCAGTTGTTGATGCTGTTGCAATTGATGTTGCTGTTGAAATTGTTGCTGCTGTTGCAATTGATGTTGCTGTTGCTCGTAGCTCGGCTGTTCATTAGTGTAGCCCTGATTTTGGGCAGCCCTGCCGTATTGCTGCTGATTCAACAACAATTGTGATTGTTGGAGCTCTTGTTGTTGCTGCGCATGACTCAGCTGCACTTGCTGTTGCTGCTGCTGATAGTGCAGTTGCAGTTGTTGTTGCTGGTTGTGGATTTGTACCCTATAGTTGTTGTCATAAGCAACGTACTGGGGTGACTGCTGTTGTAGTTGCAGTTGCAGCTGCTGTTGCAATTGTTGTTGCTGTTGCAATTGTTGTTGCTGTTGCAATTGTTCTTGCTGTTGAAATTGTTGCTGCTGTTGCAGTTGTTGATGCTGTTGCAATTGATGTTGCTGTTGAAATTGTTGCTGCTGTTGCAATTGATGTTGCTGTTGCTCGTAGCTCGGCTGTTCATTAGTGTAGCCCTGATTTTGGGCAGCCCTGGCGTATTGCTGCTGATTTAACAACAATTGTGATTGTTGGAGCTCTTGTTGTTGCTGCGCATGACTCAGCTGCACTTGCTGTTGCTGCTGCTGATAGTGCAGTTGCAGTTGTTGTTGCTGGTTGTGGATTTGTAGCCTATAGTTTTTGTCATAAGCAACGTACTGGGGTGACTGCTGTTGTTGTTGCAGTTGCAGCTGCTGTGGCTGTTGTTGTGGGTCCTGATCGCAGCTCTGCTGGCAATTTCTATTGTTGCATACAACATACTGAAGATGCTGCTGCTGTTGGAAATGTTGCACCAGCTGATCATTGCTCCGTTGCCAATTATTGTTATCACTTGCAAAGAATTGATATTGCGGCTGCTGCAACTGCAATGGCTGCTGTCCACATTGATGATCCAGCTGTTGTTGCTCCATTGGCTGCTGCAGTAGCTGTTGCTGTTCGTAATTGTATCCATTTATGAGTTGCTGCTCATGCGATGCCTGATTTAGCTCCCAGCCATCCCCCATCCACTCTATTTCCTGCTCCGATGGGTCCAATACATTGCCACCGGCATCCGACGCTACCAGACCAAGCGGACAAAAGATGGCAGCGAATGGATTAAGATTGCTGCTTTGAATATAAATTTTTTTTCCTTTCATTTTGTTGAAAAACACGTTTTGCAATTGAATTCCAATATTAAATGTGTTGTTAGTTTTTTATTTTTTTGAAGTGACATAAGTTAGACAGATAGATAAACAGAGAGAGAGAGAGAGAGAGAGACAGATATGGTTCTAAAAAAATATATTATTTAAAGAATAAATATTTATATATTTATTCTATAATATATTCAGCAATTAGTTATTTTCGCTGGGTTAAGCGCAGCAGAAATCATAAATACACAAATATTGAAATCTTTTACTTGCGCAAATTATATTTATAGTTTTTCTCGTTGCAGTGTTGCAAAATGCCACAGGCAAATACCACACAGTCGAAAACACTTTTGGATGTTTTCTGTGCCACTGAAACTTTTCGATGCAAATAATGCATTTAAATGTGCGTGTGAGTGTCGTTGTGTACTTGTGCCCCTAGAGGACAGCCAGAAGAGAAATGCTGCCTGTTTGTTGCTAGGGGAAACTTTGCGTCCTGATGGTGACAGATGGCCAGAGATACGAAGAGTCCTGACAGACACCGAGCATGACGTTTATCCTCAACGCGACTAATTGGAGCTGCTACCAAGTGGGGACAATGGTGGTCCTTTGGTTTGGTGGTTGCACAAGGCATATAAATATCCATAAATGCTGAGCAGCCGAGAAGGAAAACACTTTCCGCACAACAACAAAAACAACAACAACGACAGCAGGAATAAAAAGAGAGCTGGTGCAAAATGTTTGCGGTTGTATTTCTTTCTCAGCCCTGGCACTGACAATTATTTACACTCAAAAGTTTCACCAAAGTTGCCAGTTGGCAAATGCATAGCAATGAAGTTGTTGCTGCGGCAATGGCCTGGCCAAAAACAGGCGACGCACAGGATGCCACGACATCAGAAGCACACATAAACAGGAACGGGAACGTGTTCTGAAACAGGTGCAGATGCAAGTACACTTGGAAAAAATAATCGCCCAGAAAACTGAAAAGTTTTTTCTGTTTGACGTGTTTCTGTCTATCTGCTTCTAGGCAACCTAGCACCTCAGCTAAAGATAGCTTATATCTTTATGAGATCTCGTCAGTATCGGTATTTTTGCAGTAGTCAGTACATATATTAAGCCCGGCCGGATCGGATGCTAATATGAGTCGAAACAAGAGTTCTTGTATGGAAAACATTATTGTTTACCAAACTCCAAAAATTTGAACAAAAAAGTACATCGGATAAAAATCGATCGGCTTTCCTAATCTGTAGCGAAATTTAGATGTCCGCAATTAAACTGCGGTCAACAAGGGTATGCATTCTTCAACATGCCTGCACCAACCGTTTACTCCAGTTTTAGAAATGTACTTCTATGGCGATTTTTGTTGTTAGTGTAAAACTGTCCACCTGGCTCTGCGTGTTGAAGGTGCTGCCTGCTGCCAAGTTATGGGTTGCGACAATTGCAAAAATTATTCAACTGACTGGCAAATCCTGGCCAGCAAGCAGGCAGGTTACCTAACTGCCTGGCTGGTTGTCCTTGCAGACAATTAAGCAGGAACAATGCAGCACAAGTCTTATAAATGCTCATGCATGCCACTGCGAGTAACTATTGCAACACCCACCTGGCACCACCTTTAAGCAAGTAGGTGCTTGCCACTCGTGCGCATATCCTGCCCGGATGTGTTAAGCCACCGTTCGGGCTGCCACTCCAACCAAGCATTGAACTTCATTGCCGAAAGTTGCCTTCACTCGTCAGCTCGAGCTTTAGCTTGAGTTCAAGTGATGAGCACGAAAGAAGCCGGTTCTAGTTTTTTTTTTATTAATTTAAAAAACCTGAATTCGATTTAAATATTCATATTCTATTCCTATATTGATTGAAATACAAATGTTTTTTGTTGCTTTGAAGACCATTTTATTATTATTTTTTGCAAATAAGTGATATTTTATTATTGATGCTGTATTTTATTTCTGTATTTAATGATGTTTTCTCATTGCATATTCAATTTGTATTTTAATTATAATGTTCAGTACTTATTTTAGTTTACATTTTAGCTTAAGCTGTCCTCTGCATTCAATCAAATTCCTGGCTTGTCAAATTTAAAAGCATTTTAATTGATTTATAATTTTTTCATTGGTTAAAATTGCATTTATTTTTTTATTAATTTTCTTAAAGATATTTTTTAAAATAGCTCACGGGACTCATTGTATATTTAATTTTATAATAATACAGTTGTCAGCAAGTGTAAGACCTATAAGGGTTACGACTCTAATAATGAAAATACCAAATTTAAGATTTAAATTCACATTTGAAAAGCTACCAACTCATTTTTTGTAGTACACGAGAAAAAAAAAGCCAAATCGGCAACACTGAGTGTGTGTTGTGGGGCAAGCAGGAAGTTTCGGTTCAGCAGATCCCAAGCTTGGTAGCTTAAGGATGTTAGAAATTATGGCTCCATAGTATGATTTACTTAATTGCAATGCCTGTCCCTTAGAGAAAAAATGTGTGCACTTCAACAAAAAGAGTTCGGGCTCCGTTTTTAACTAGGAAGTTAGATTATTGTTGGCCATAAGCTCGCGAGTCTGGCGACTGAGGTCAATCTTCTCCTTGTATTGCATATCATAATCCTTGATACGTTCTAGGGTCAGGAACTTCTGGCGGTGGCGTTGACAAATCGTGCTCGAGCGATTGGTGGCATTGCAAATGCGACGTGACAACTCGTGTCCAAAACTGGTCCTGCGCTGATTGCCATTGCCAGAGCCATCGGTCACATAAGAGCGCAGTGCCAGGCCTGCAAATAGGCGCACATTTCGAAAAATGAATAAAACGATCACAATTATTCACCAAACTGGTAAGAAGGCTCCAGTCAATAGAGTTCAACTAGCAGATACCCTAATCGTACACGTCTTAGATGCCAAATGCAGGGTTTTTTGCGACAATCAGACAAACAGGTGAATATCGCTAAATTTTCTCGGAAAAATATAACATATACCACTGTCATATTTTAAATTTATATTGAAATTGAGGTGACAGCAGGTTGACTGAGGTTAACAAGGGTCTCTTATCTCCGGCGTGCCCAAGATAGTCGTTCTTTCTTGCTATACCCTAAATCGATTAAAAATGGGTAAAGGGTATATTGAATCTATAACACAGATACTTTCACTAAGTAATTTGGCTTTTGCATGCATTTTTTTAATTTCGTTCTGAGTTTGACTCCGATTCTGAAATTAAATCGGTAAACATGCGGTTCCGATTCTGATGTGACATTATGGTCTCGGCTTTTGATGATTAAATAATAATAAATTACTAGTATTAACAAGAATTAATTCTCAATTATTACAAACTTAACTTAAACAATATTTTGCTATTGCTTACCAACTATGAAAACCTTGGCCACATCTTTGAGCGTAGGCTGATCCTTGAGCAACATTATACTCAACTGCGCAAATTCTTGATTTCTCGAATTATTTATTTCCACTGAGATTCGTATTATGCATACACATAAAAAAGAACATATATTCACATATATATATAGTATATAAATTATGCGTTCTCTTTGAGTTCTTGTCGCACGACTTCTTAAATTTTGAACAACAAATTAAACTGATAATGGTTTTCGACTTTTTTCTGATTTCGCTTAAGTTTCTAAATTTCTCTGTTTTGGTTTTGACTGGAATCTGACAGCTTTATGCCTGCTATACCTATTCCAAAACTCAATGATTGGCATTATGACACTAAGTCCAGCTATAAATGCCAAACAATCACCAAACTGCCCAACACAACCCCAAGTCACTTCGTCGCTGCCACTCTAATTCACATCCTTCCATTCATAGCAAAATCAAATTTACGAAACATTTTCCACACATAGCGAAAATCGAGTATATTTGCACAAACAACTGAACAGTTTCAATGCCCTTACTAACAGGAATTAGTATTTTCAAAGCAACTATTCCAAAAAGAATCGATTTGAATATGTGGATAGTATCTCAAAAAGGTTAATTCTGCAAAATATATATGCATATTTAGATTAAAAAGTTAATGTGTCTCTTTACATTCATTATACATTTATATTTTTATATATATTATTCCTGCTGTGAAGTTTCAGCCAATTTGACTTACCAATTCTACAAATGCAGTTAAAAATAGTGATTAGAAGATTTATAAACTGAGCTTCGCAGATTCGCAGAAGTACTTCAGCCAAAATGCATATAATATTTATTTACTTTTCTTAATTTGTATAAGCAAAGGGTATTTGAACTCAGCTCGTTTCAATTATCTGAGCTTTCTACTTTTTTTTTTTAAATTTTGTTATGTGTGGGTGTGTAGGCGAGTGAGTGTGCGTGTGTGGGTCGTTATCCAATTCTGCAGCTGGGCCAAGTTCATTTGCCATAGAGTGAAAATTCATGAGCATGCCCCAGGAAACCAGATGACGAGAATGATGATGGCACTGATGACAACATGTGTGCCTAAGCGCTCCAAATAAACTGCCAACTGTTTCGCGCTGTTTGGCACAGGTGCTGGCTGCTGCTGTGGCAATGGTGCGATGTTTGTAGCTTGGCAATATTGCGGCGCTGCGGCTTAGTTGCTGGATCTGTGTTTGGTTCTCTGTCTTTGGCTCTGTTTGCTTAGTCCCTGCGGCTGCGGATGCAATGCAGACAGCTGCTGCTAACAAATATGCCTATGCAATGCTCTCCTCAGGTACAAACAAGTTTTGTATACTAATAAATAATAACTAATTTTTCTTCCGATTCTTGCAACGTAAGCTATTTGCAAGCTGGTAAGCAATGTGTTATAAAATTGTTAAACAAACTGGTCCACAGCGTGGTGTACATACATAAAACTCCATTTTAAGATATTCATAAGAGAAACTACTACTTTTAAATGATTGCTGCCACAAGTACATTTTTGTTGCACTTTTAGAGTCAACAACATCAACTAGTTGTAGCAGCTGCCTGCCACTTCGTTATGTGCAATTGCTCAACTGCAGTGATTGTACACTTTTGGGGCACTCGAATATTGACCATGAAACCACCCTCTTTGGAAAAGTTCCAGCAATAGCCATTCAATCATTGACCACAATACAGTCCCAATAAACAGCAATAAAAACCAAATCCTTGGTCAGACTCTACAAAGGCCTTCGTTCTGGTGTTGTATTCTGCAGCTTTTCATGGTTTGGACATATGCATAGCATACAAATCGATTGATGTTGATTAGCATAAATTGTCTGGACCGCATTGTGCAATGAATAATTTTGGTTGTGCCGACATTGACTACACACACACACACACACACACACACACACAGAGTGAGTGAGACAGACTGGAACCCATGTGCACTCTATTGTTGCCACATTCAGCCCTAATGCAATTTTGTTTTGCTTAATTTGATAGGCGTTGTCAGTGGCCAGTTGCTGCACACATTGACAATGTTGCCCGTTACAGACATGACAGCTCAGCCCCCTACTCACACTTGAACAGCAAAGTGGAGGAGCCGAGCACAGCTGGTGATGGCAGTATGGCAAGGGGGCCATGGTCTAGGCCATGGTATTTCGGCTAACTAACTGGTATGCGTGACCATAAAATATGCAGTTGTATACTTACAAAAATGGTTAATTATCTAAAAGTATTTTTTACTATTAATTATGCTCTCATTATTATTATTACCATTATTATTAAAAAATTGGATGACAAAAACTCTCTTATATGTTCTAAAACAGTTTCAAATCTCGCACATATCAAAATTGAAGTGCTTTTAATAAAATAAATGTATTACAACTACCATAACTGTTAGACATATATATAAAATAACTTGCAAATCGCAATTGAACTGTTATACACACTCGAAAAATTGCCTAAGTACACCCATTCAAAGTTTTATATCATGTAAGCAGTTAAAACATTTGAAAACTATACCACACACATTGCCCCTTTACTAAAGACGCTTATTATGAGTTAGTTTCATTCCCAACATCTTAAAGTAGCGAAAGCTTTCCTTATAAGCACCCACACACACACACACACAGAGATAAGCAGCTAAACATCAATAGCACTCACGCCCCACAACGCAAATCTTATCAAACTGACATAATTTTCATTATGTTTTGCACTTGCACAGCTTAGACTAATGTATGCCAGGCGGTGCTGTAATTTGGTGGGGGGGCTTGGTAGGGGAGGGTGAATGTGTGGGGTGTCTTAGTGGGTGGTTGGTTTGGCTACCTCCCGTTGTGCACCACACAAAATGTTCAGCAATAGCAGAAAACAATGAAAATGGGGAATTTCAGTGTTCTTTTTACTTATTTTTGTTTTTTTTTTTTTTTTTGTGGGGAGGGGCACGTTATACGCATTACACACATGTGTAGCGTGTGTTCTAATCTGGCCGCCAATAACTGCAAATTAGATTAGTGACGCCTACAGGGTGTGTCAGTAAAAACAACAACAACAACAATGCCAACAGCAACAGCAACAAAAATCTGAGCACATTTCGCTGAAACATCATTCGAGAAACACGCAACTTTTTTCTGCTCTTATTTTGCTCATCGCGTGCTGCGTTTATAAATCTGGAATTGAGGAGGAAGCGCAGTATGGGGAGCGGTGTTGGGTTAGAGAGAGGGAAAACAAATCGACACTCAAACTGCAATCCCAGGATAGCAATAGATAGACCATAGTCCATTCACAGCTACAACAAAAAGCACAAAATGATAGAAACTTTTCCGCTTTCAGCTACCACGGATATTATTCGTATCCATATTATATATGCGACCAGCTTCGATTTCAAGTCCAACCCAGTGGCGTCTGATTGGGGGATTTAATATATTCGTGGAAGAAGCCAGTTTATTAAAGGAATAATTAATAAATACTAACAATATATGACGATGTTTTTATACCAGTTTATTCAAACCGATTATTGTCCATTAGACAAGGAAAAAGGCTAGTTGTGCAAAAGTATTTCACAGACAGAAGGAAACATCTCCGATCCCTGAGTGTATAAATATTCTTCTAGGAATTCATGTTTCCCAATTTAAATGTAGTATGACAGAAACACAAAAATATGCTTCATCTAAATCTTACCCCCAAGTGTTATTTAACCCCCTTTGTCAGCAAACACCACTGTTTTCCGTTGCTCCATTGATGACAATGGGTATGGAGATGGGGTTGCCGATGGAGATGGGCATTAAAAGGCTGATGTCAGCGTCCGCGTCGCCAACGCCAAAGCGACGCCATTGTGGTATGCTATATTAAGTTAGAGGAGTCTGGGGCCAGTTATTGACCAGGCAGGACGACACTTATACGCTTCACTGGTGCCAGGGAGGGGAATGAGGAATGGGGAAGGCAAATGTTTGTATCGGTAGACGTAAACGTAAAATGAATTATATGCGATACGTTCGTATATCATTTGGCCAAGATGCTCGCTGCTTCTTTGCCTGATTGCAAACAATAACTCTTGGCATGGACATTAAATGTGGACGAGGCAATTGATGGGGGGCGGAAGGTAAAGTCTGCGTAAAAGTTTCGGTTAATTGCGTGGGCGTTTGTGTGGTATTTAGGGTTAGTAGCAAGGGAGCGTGGTATGCAGTGGTCTTGATGGGGATTGCAAACTTTCACGAAAAGCTGATTTTAAATGTTAGCCACCCACACACATTTTTGGGACTTTGCCTAATCACTTGCGGCCGATTAGTTCAACTTGCTTGTGCTTTTTTTAGTTGATTTTCATTTTGGCCACTTCACGAGTGCGTAACTGTGTAGCGGTTGGCAACTGTGTCAGTCATATTAAACCGACCAACGTCCTCAGTTAAATTATATCTGTACGTATATCAAATAAATGCAAATGGAAATGGATACAAAACTTTGTCGGTCTGTCAACTAAACTTGCTAATCAAGTCCGACAGCTCCACAAATTAAATCGGAAGCCACCAGAATCTCGAACCGTATATTGCAAGTGTAGTAGCTACATTTTCTGGGTCCATACAGGTTCAGCTTTCAGTTTCAAGAACAGAATTAACTGAAAAGTTCATGCTGAAGTCAAAAGTGACTGGCAGAAAGATACAATGGGACACCGAACACTACATATCCTTGCAGACTGAATCTACTTCCTGAAAAAAAAGCTACTCGTTTCTAGTTATTGATCCTATATATTATATGGTCATGTAGCAAGTAGTAGTTCGCACAAAAAGACAGGCAAACAGATGGTCCTGGCAAAACTCAAAATACCCTCTGAAAGGCAGATAGGTTGATTAAGCTAAAGCCCTCTAAAAAAAGCTGATTAACGTTAATATCAAACATCCAAAATGATACACTCTAATTTAACTCTATAATTTGTCAACGTAATAATGGAGAAAAGATGTCAGTTTTGGAAAATATATAACAAAACTCGTGAAAACCCCTGAAAAAACTGCTCAAAATATTATCGCAATTTTTAATTTGTTCTGCGCAAAAAAACGTCATTCAAATAGCGACCATTCTCAATTACAATGCAAATTTGAACAGAGCTTCCTTTTTGACCTGCTAATTGTGGCCCAAAGTCATAAGTTGACGGCTTATCATGAGTGGTGTGTATTGCGCTCCTGGACACAAACACACACACAATACTCAACTGTGTAGCTGTGTCAGATGATTGTGAATGGCACTCAAGCTGATTTCAATCAGGCTGCGGTTATTGTGTAAACGCGTCGTCGTCCAATGGAAATTTGCAGTTATCCAAATACCCACAGACACGTGGCACATACAACAACCGCAGCAAAAGCGGCAACAGCAACAACAACAACAATTGACAACAAAGACGTTCATAACAATGATGGTGCCCAGTCTTGAAGTTTCCAAGTCCCCAGCCAGATATCACCCCTGTCAATTGCTCGATATGTCGTATCTGTAGCTGTATCTGTATCTGTATCTGTGCATCTGTATATGTTTCTGTTGTATCTGTCGCGCCCACGTAACGCTTTATGCAAATTCCGAGACGTGGTGGTTTCCTTACGGTCGTTTTCAGTTTCAGTCGCGAAATTGCAGCCAACACATCTTGTCTATGGCGTTTTGGACTTTAACTGCAAATCGATAAAAATTCTTTTGCTCAAAGTCTCAACCGCAGCCTGGCCCCTTCCTGCCTGCTTCCCTCACCAAGCCTGTATATCTTTTTCAATGTATATTTTCCGACCGCCTCTGAAGAAGTTACGCCCAAGCAAATTTGCTCTTGGGTTTTTATTATATTATTTTCTTTCCTATATTATTTCCTTAATTTTCTTCTTTTTTTTTGTGAGTAGCACTTAAAGTGTCTCCAGCTTTTGCCTCACTCAAATGTTTGGTTTTCGGCTTTGCCATATTTTTTTCGGTTTTATGCTCTCTACCCATTTGAAATGCTTGTCCATTTAGTTATTATTGTTGCAAGTGCATGTATTAAATACCATTGTCTTTTTTACACGTTGTCGATGGATGTTTTGTATGTTTGTTATTGCTAAAATACAAAGAGAAAATAAGGCAGATTTAACATGCTGAAAACATGTACATATCAAAACATCTAATTGAAAAATTAAAAGGCCTTTGGATAAAACTGACACAAATGTATATTGTGCTGGGTACCCTTAAGCATCACCAGCAGAATGAAATGAACTCCGATATGCATGGGTAGGTAGTCTTCGGCATGTCTAAGAAAGCTGTTCTTAATGTTTAATATTTTTCTATTTAAGTCAACTCATTTAAGATTTTTTTATGTTTTTAGCTGATATGTGCTGAATGATGGTAAAGTTAGATAATGAACAGTAAAGAAATAGTATTCTTAATTGTAAATATAAGTTATGCTTACTAGGATTCTAGTGTTAGTCTTTCGATGTTAGTAAGCTGTGACACAGCTTTAAATATTTAAATTCTAAGTAAAGTCTTGAAATTGTTTAGAAACACTATTACTCCGACTGTTGAAGCCTTTCTGGTTCCGTGACAATCACCATGAGACACAAGGGCCCAAATCAAGCGCCGCGAAGGAAACTGATACCCAACCTTTTCAGTAATATTCTGAATGTGATCGCCGAATCGGATCGACCGTTGACACAGCAGGAGATCGTTGAGGCCGTCGCGGAACGCTTGAATCGTTGCGATGAGGAGCTGAAGCGCCAGATTACCGTCAATCTCCATGATGCCATCATCTATGGGTATCTGCGGATGAAAGACTATCGCTATTCCATCGTCCAAAATCGCTTCAGTGCGAATGAGCAGCGAGAACTAAGCCACAATCACAGTGCATCCACGGAAAAGTCCAGCCGTAGCCCGGAGAATACTCACACCATAAAATAGAGAGAGTTTGAATACGAAAGTGCATCGTATCGAAACTAGCAAACATACTTGGGCTCAACAAATAAAATTCACTTCATAATCAAATTAACTGTGGAATAAATGAAAACGCCACAGTCTTGTACATGAGTCTAGAGTAGATTAGTAGTCGAAGTAAGTTAGATAGGGAGGCTGACCAATGTTACTATAGCAAGTACAATGCCATCCAACTGAAGAGGAATAAGAATTAAAGTTGTGGAAAAGTATGTTACAGACAGAAGGAAGCATTTCCGATCCCATAAGGCTTATATGTTCTTGATCAACGTAAACAGCTGAATCGAGTTAGCCCGTCGATAACTCTCCCCTTTCCCAGAATATCAATATAAAGTGAATTTATTTTCAAATAAATGGTAGACTGATACAAGGTAATAGAAAAATTTAAGTATATAGCCATCCGGTTGATAGATGATATGCCCTGATATATGACTGATCAACTGTACAAATTTAATTAAGTTGAGATGAGAAAGACAAACACAATGGGAAAATAGTAGATAGTTTACTGGTTTTCAGGTAATGCGTAAGGTTCATTGGATGATTTGCATTGATAAGGCAATAATAGATTAACAAATAAACATTGGACCGTATATTTTATGCAGAATATTTCATAAGATATAATTGAAAAGTAAACAAATATTAAACATTTAATAAAATGTTCGCTTTTTTGCTTTAAGCAAAAATTTCTCTTTATTACAATATTGAATGCTTCTGTGTTAGGATCATCAGATGTGTGTGTGTGTGTGAGTTTTGTCGTGGGTATGCAAGAAACACGAACAAAACGATCAACAAAATAAGCGATACTCAGGATCGAAGTGCATCCAGTATTTGACAAGTGATACACATAATGAGAGATGGAGTCAAAGGTTTGTAATCAACGCATGCGCCACGAGAGCGGTTGCTTCTCATGCTCCTTTTCGCGCTTGACTCTCTCCTGGTTGCGCTTCATAATCACCTTCTGTTCCTTGTCGGAGAGCAGAGTGTAGTAACTGCCATCTTTGCGTAAAAATCCATTCAAAACGGCCTCCTGCAAAATGTGTGGTATATGACGCTTTAGTTCGATGGGCAAACGTCCCAGACGCTTGGACAGCAATCGTATGATTTCCATATAGCTAACCGAACAATTGAGTTCACGCATTAGCTTCATGGTCGTTTCAAAGAACTCCGATCTCCGCTGACACGGCCCATAGGTTTGCAGCTCCGGCTGCGACTGCCGGGCACTAGCCGGCGTAAAGCTCGGAGCGTTCACATTCAGATGATGCGAGCGACGCCATGACAAATCAGTGTGGTCCGATGCGCGTCGCTGTTGCAACATGTTCATATTCTGTGGATGTTGTTGTTGTTGCTGCTGCCGCGAACGACCGGCATACCACGGCGAACGCATATTATAATCAATAACTGGCGATTCCAGCTGATATCCATTATTCTGGGCTCGATAAGACATATTGGAATTCTTCCGTTACTGATACTGCTTTCCTATTGTCTGCTGTGCCGTGTCACCTAAATTCAAAGTAGATTCTCCGTATTAGCGAAATATATAGATACGATGTCAAGGGTAGCTAAGGATTTCACGAATTAACCACAAAAACAAACGAAATTAACTTCAGTTAACTAATTTAGGTAAGTTTTTAGGTCAATCTATATCTTGCCGAAAAATAAAAATTTTGTCGTTCACAGAAACTGCTTGAATAATATGTTCGTTATCTTTATGCTATGTCTGAAACACGAACAACTCAATTGATATATGCTTGACATCATTTTGTAGGCCTGCTAGGCCGTGGACCGGATTATACAGTTTAGGTTTACCCTCAACTTGCTTAGCCCATTTTGAACTGTACCTTTTAGCTAATGAAGGACCATCTTGTGTAGATCTTGATATTTGATCGCAAACACTGCTTCAGGAATCCTACAAAAAATAAGATTTCAAAACAACTAAGATAACCAAAAATGTTTTGTTGTTTCCTCTATCGTATGAGATTCATAAAAACTAAGAATATTTTAATGATACTAGGTTCTCTTGCTTTGAATCCTAGACTCAAAATTAATTAAGAAAATCTCAAAGGCTCAATGGGTCACAATATACCAATTGATACGAACTTGTGTATGATTGTGCTTAACTATGATAAATAGATTTTTCAAATGGATCATTATATTATACGGTGTGTCTGTTTTTAATATTATTTATGCTTAAGCCTTGTAATCTCAGTTTGTGTAACTGAAAATCAACGCCAATGCTTAGACTCGACTCTATTCTATGCGACTCGCATAAGATCACTTTCAACTCAAAATGCTGTTACAGCAGATATGCTGTGCTTTTTTGTTTTGGGGTAAGTGTGGGTATAATAAATCTGTTTATATTTGTTGGGGTACAAACGACGGCCGCGGGCCAAACCCAAATCCGTTTATGTAAAACAATAATAATGCCAACAACAAGCCGCAATCCAAGTCAAAAAGTTATGCTCTAAATAAACAAAAGGGGAGCCCAACCCGAGGCAGGGTCTTTTCATATTTCCATTTTCTTTTCTTCTGCACCCTGATGAGGTGCGAAAAATCAGTGAAATTGAAATTGCGTGACTTGTGAAATTGGGACAAACAGCTCCAGGGCTACCGTAAAAGCCCTTGCAAAGGGTTGCACTGATAGCATTCTTATGGAATGAGTCGAAATTCTCATTGGTTTTCTGTTAAGTTTTTTAGGGTGCTTTATTGTTTTTGCCTTAAGAGAGTGAAACTTTTTGAAAATATTAAGCAGAAGATATCGGCAAACATCAAATTAAACTAACTAATTGTATAATAAAATCCATAGAATTAAAAAATATATATATGTTCTTGATATGTTTCGTTAAACATTTTAAATAGCTTTTATTTTAATTTAGTAAATCAAAGTATTTTCTGTCACAAAGAAAAAATAATTTAATACTTTTCTTCAAAACTGTGCCCATCCATGAAATCCCTGATTCAATATATACATAGTTTGTATTCCGCAATATGAAAAACTTTCGCAGATTATAATTGGAGCTTATAATTATTGCAAGGAGTTGCACTACTCTTATTTTCAGCGCAATTAACTTTCGTCACAATTTATTTCTTCTTTATTCTTAAGTAAGGCAACAAATTTCTCTTAGCCTGTCTAAATGTATGTTTGTTTGTGCTGTGATTATAACACAAACACATACACAAAATTGGTTTAAACAGTTATTAATACACTTGACACTGTTGGGCTTAGCTTGGTAAGTTGCAAATAGTTTAATGCAGCTGCTACACTACGAAATCTGAATTAATTTCATATATTCGGAATAACTTGCGCTCAATCTACAACACATAAAATATCTCTTATATTTATGCATTTAAAAAAAAAAGTTACATTTTTAAACTACAAACCTTTATTTAAAACTTAAAGAAAGTCTCTTATTGAACAGAAGAAAATACAAAATATCCCATTCGGTTTTAATTTGAGGTTCTCATTTTGTAGTTGTAGTGGGACGTTTTCCTGAGTGTTGCTGCTTGCTAAAACAAACTTGAGTAAACCTCAAATGCAGTGACTTCCATCCCAGCTCGAGTTCAGATTGCAGTGCAGGGCTCAACAATATCCTCTTCTGCCATTGTACTATGTGTGTGTGTATGTCTTGTCGAGTGCCTACATCCAGTTTCGAGCACTCAAATACCAGTTGGTGCGCAACAATCAGTATAAGTTCTACACCCAATTGATGGCAATAATTACGTTCTGTTTCTGTTCGCTCTGCCTATGATAAGTGGTTTTACGGGTGGCGGCTAAAGCAGACATCAAATCAAACACAAAGCGCCCTAAACAGTTATAAGGGTCATGTCATCTAACACCGTTGATAGGCGCTACATTTGAGACCTGCGGTCTTTCAATGATTTCAAACACCAACACACGCTGTGTCCAATGTCAGTTACATATCAATTAATTCAGTCAGCTCGAGTGCAACTGTAGCCGAATCTTCGAACCATCGTATTAATGCCTGACCACTTTCGAGTTAAGAGTTGCCTTAAGACATATCTTATTTGGCAGTGGTTAAGTTGTTTGTTTTAAAATGGTGTATCCTTCTTAACAGTGCTATTTTCATCTTGAAAACTACTATTAATAACGCTGGTTTCTGAGTATCTCCTACTAGAGCTATATAACTTATTTTTACTAACATTTTTTAAATTTTATTTTATTTTTTATTTGTGTAGGTAGAAAAGTTTTACTGGCAAAACATTTAAAGCATACTCTTACTCGTTTGTAATATGAATGTTTTTGTTAAAGTTAGTGAATGTGAATGAGAATTTAACTTGAACTTTGCACGCCTGACTTAAATTCATTTTATTTTATACAAATTTTTATTTAACAACATTTTCTAGTGTGTAAATTGCACAAGTAAGTTGTTATATTAATATTTTGAGACTAATAATTAATTTAACTTATTACCTTATAATAAATAGTATTTACGCATATAGAGAAGAACATTTTGAAGCATTGTATGTGAATGGAAAGTGCTTTATAGTACTTTATCTAATGCGCAAGAGTATAACGAGTGCAAATCTTACATATTTAAACAGCTCACTAATCATATCAAAGAAATCCACAATTGCCAAAGCATGAGAATACTCCTTGATTTTTTCGAGTTATTTAAATTAAAGTCAAGTGATTTGTTTGCTTATTGAGAACAATCATCGAGGACTCTTCAGATGAATAAAGAGCTAACGAGCTGTTAAATAATTCAGTAGAAACCACGTGGATGATGTGGATGCTAAACAGCTTGATGTCTCTCCCTCTTTCACTCTCTCTCTCTCTCTCTCTCTCTCTCTCTCTTTCTCTGTCCTGCACACCCACTTTGTTTGTTTGTTGTTGCTGCAAGTATCTAGAGCTCATCATGATTGTTTTGTAATTGGAATGCGACAATGCGGCGCAAACAACAGCAGCAGAAAGAAATGGAAAATGGAGGCAGCTGATAAAATGCAAGCGGGGTAAGTAAGCAGTTAACCACACTGAGACAAAATATACCCGAAAAGTTAGTCGACTCAATATATATAAAAAATAAAATAAAATACAAAAAAAAACATGCGCATTTCTTCTTCGGAAATT